TACACAACCCTACCAGAACTAGCACCGCTGAGGCGGCGCATGCTTCGCCTCCGAGGGCTCTACGGACTTCTCGCGAAATTTGTGACCTTGCTCCTGCAGCCTTCCTGACCTCGTGTCCGCTCCCTTGCTGTTCGTATGAGTTGTTGTTGCTGCTTGGAGTGGCCAGGAGGAAGAGGAGACGGACGAGGAGGAGGAGGAAGAGGCAGGAGAGCGGAAGGATGGATTAGCCCCCCTCACCGCCATTGCCGGGCGTGGCTGACATGGGTCGTGTTTGGCATGGGTCTCGAGGATAGCTTTGAGCGGAGATTCATTGGGATGGGGAGACAAAATCGTTCAAATTACCACCTTTGGCCGAAAGCGAGGTTGATTGTCGGAAGGATGTCGCACGTGGCTCGCGCGATGCACGTGTTGTTTCTTGGTCGGTTTTCGCACTCGCCACTGCGTTCACTCTTCCCCGAACAGTGTGCATGTGAGTATGCTGTTGCCGAGGTGTGCAACAATGGCTCGACCATCCCGGGCAGACCAGCAAGTCAGTCATTATATGCGGTGCCACAACGACAAATATGTTCTCGGACGTTTCAATGTATCAGTCGACGTATCGAATTTACGAGGGCCTGAAATCGCAGATTGGCGCTGGTGTTGTCAACAGTGCGCCGTTGGTTACAGCATCATCGGGTCATTGGTGACATCGTTCGTTTTGTCTTGCTGTATTTGAGTTGTCCCGCGGCAATGTCGATTTGTACGCGGTTGATCGTGCAGCGTTAGGTCGACATTTTTCGAGTTGCTATAGGCTGCCGAGTTTCTACACCAGTTTTTAAGTAGGTTCGATGCTAAAGCGTCACCGCGCATGGTCTTGCAGACACCCGTACATCGCTCTGCCATGCATCACGTTGATAAAAGTGTGATCTTGACACTTCGCTGTTTGTTTGCCACGATTTGGGCACAGGTCACGGAAACCACAACGCGCACAGAGAAGATCCTTAAAGATCAGCGTACAAAGAGGTGCTAGGGAGGAATTGTAGATCGAAGGCGCCTACGTACGGTGAATCACCGCCGCCCCTTGCCTCTGTCGAAGCGCGAGGCTTTTGCGGCCGATAATCGTTCTTAAAGTTGCCCGGCTAAGGTGAAATGATGATTCCCCGAGTAGTTGTTAGCACGACTCGGGGAGCATGGGGTCCCAGAGTGCAGGGTTGCTTTGGAGCTGTTGTGGGACCTTCTTGGGCGTTCTTGGGGCCCTCCTGGGGACGGCCCTCTTGGGCCGTCTTGGGGCTCTCTTAAGCTGTCTTGGGGCCCGCTGGAGGCTCTCGTAAAGCCCTCTTAGATCGTCTTGGGGTGAAAGACCGAAATGCTGAAATCCTCAACGTAAGGATCATGGCTTCTGCTTGTCAGAAGCGTCTCGGCGAAACCCTTCGATCCTTCTTGGGGCGGCTGGGGTCTGGAGCGGCTCTTGGACCGTCGCAGGGCCGTCTGGGGAGTTCTTGGTGGTAATTTCGGGCCAGGTGTAGGCCGTCTTGGAAGCGTACTGCACCCGATGTGCAATTGTATTTCGCAAGTGTCGGGGTAGTTGGTACACCCTCCTGGATTTTCCCCCACCCTACCGGCCGACCCGCCGTTTGTATGATTACGACCAGGTCGTTTTAGGGTGTGCCTCGTGATTGACATTGTGTGGTTCATCAGTTGGTTCATCTTACTTGTCTTCATCCGCTCATCCATCACCGAGCTTACTCAACAATTGATCGTTCCGGACTTTGTGTGTCTCCTTCTCATCGTTCTCATAGTTCTTCTATTTTTCTCTCAACGCTTCATTTCTATCTCACCGTGCAAGTTCGTCGCATTCCAGCAGTTTGTGCGAGCACAACCAACGGTGTCTGTTGTGCGTGTTGTAGTCGTGTGGAGACCCCTATGACGGCCTTACTGCATGATTCCTCTAGTAACGGCCTAAGAAAGGGATTACATGTAAGGCATCCTCACACAGAATTCCTTCTGCAGCCCCAGATCCTGGCCCCTCCACCTCCCCCGAGGCCTCCGGAGGCCGCGGAGGAAGTGTGTGCGGGCTCTTGGGTCGACCCCAAGAGAGCGCAAGGACCGAAAGAGCGGTTCCACGAAAGCTCGGGCGGGGCCAGGACGAGGATAAGTTCGTTCCAGAGCGATCCAGAGCGCTCTCAGAGCGTTCTGGAACGCTCTGAGACGGCCGCAGCGCCCGCGACGTCCCCCGGAGCCGCCGGATCTCAGAGATCCTCGATTTACCCTCACCCGATTTTATCATCGCCCTGGCTTCGTCTTAAAAGCCCGCGAGAGGACCACCTGAGGCAACCACGTGTGATTTCCGCTGACCTTTCGAGGTTTCAATATGTTCGCCATGTCGGGTTTCACAAGACGTAAGAAACGCTTGGACGGCCTCCATATCATCCTCCTGGTCCTTTCCCTGGGACGACGCATGCATGTAGTGCGCAAGCGGCAAAGAAAAAGATGCTGACGACAATGACTTACACATCGAGGGCACCATCCTGCCCGAAGTCTCATTGAGATGACGAGTGTACGCCGGGAGTGAGCCCAAGAGCGCCCCAAGACATCTCAAGCGGCCTCCAAGATGGCCCAAGATATTCCAAAAAGAGGGCTCTAAGTGAGGGGGCTCGGAGGGGCACCAAACCCAAAACCCCGAAAGCGGCCCCCCAGAGGCCCTCAGAGGTCCCCAAAGCATCCGAAAGAAGCCTCCTAGAGGCCCCAAGAGCCCCCCAAGAGGCCTCTACGAGGCCCCGATCCTCCCTCTCCTCCTCCTCCTCCTCCTCCTCCTCCTCCTCCTCCTCCTCCTCCTCCTCCTCCTCCTCCTCCCTCCTCCCTCCTCCTCCTCCTCCTCCTCCTCCTCCTCCTCCTCCTCCTCCTCCTCCTCCTCCTCCTCCTCCTCCTCCTCCTCCTCCCCTCCTCCTCCCTCCTCCTCCTCCTCCTCCTCCTCCTCCTCCTCCTCCTCCTCCTCCTCCTCCTCCTCCTCCTCCTCCTCCTCCTCCTCTCCTCCTCCTCCTCCTCCCTCCTCCTCCTCCTCCTCCTCCTCCTCCTCCTCCTCTCATCCTCCTCCTCCTCCTCCTCCTCCTCCTCCTCCTCCTCCTCCTCCTCCTCCTCCTCCGCCTCCTTCTCCTCCTCCTCCTCCTTCCTACTACTCATCCTCCTCCGCCTGCAGGATGACGACGACGACGACGACGATGGCGAATAGGAGGAGGAGGCGGAGGCCCAGGAGAACGAAAGAAAGAGGCTTAAGAATGGTCCCCAGGATGAGGGGAGGAGGAGGAGGAGGAGGAGGGCAAGGAGGAGGAGGAGGAGGCGGATGAGGAGGAGGCGGAGGCAGAAAAGGAAGGAGGGGGGCGTAAACATGAGTAGAAGGAGAAGGAGGACGAGGAGGAGGAGAAGGAGGACAAGGGGGCATGTGGTGAGGCGTTTCTCTTCAGCCCTCTGAAGATGTCTTTGTCGTTGTCACGGCAACTCATGTTCAAAACATGCGTATATGTGTACACATGTGCAGTTGTGTTGTTTTGGAGGGCCATGGCGTGCTAGAACCGAAGCGCGCGTGCGTGGTTGTAGTCGGTGAATCGACAGGGGGCGACGGTTCTAGAGGCCGATGGGCCGTCCCGCCACCGTGCTAGGGTCATGGACCAGAAGTCTCTGGGGGGGTGCCGCTTAGGGGGCCCATTTAGGGTTCTCGGGCGCGTCGTGAGTTGTCCTGGGGGGCCTTTCGGGAGTCCCATGCGGACCTCTTAGGGGCTGTGCCATAGCTTGGACATGACATGCCTTCGCGCAATTAAGTCGCCATGCCCACCTGCTTGACTTTACAATTGATTTTGTGTTGGGGCAGACACCCCTACGCGCAACGAGATTGCGATGTCTATTGTTGAGTCCCCCTTCCATCGGTTGCGCCGTAGGTTTTGGTAGACACCCCTTCGCGCAACCAGATAGTTCTGCCAATGTTTGAATCGACTCTCCATTGGTTGCGCCATGGGTAGGGGTGGCCACCTCTTCGGGCCAACAGATCACGATGTCCACTTCAGAGATTTCCTTCAGTTTTGATGCGCCATGGGTTACTGTGCAGTCCCCCTTGCACAACCAATGTACAACGTCAAGTATGAATATATGTTCCACAGGTTGTGCCATAGGTTGCGGCAGAACCCTTCGGGCAATTGATTTGCGATGTCTGCCATAGGTTGCGCCAGAGGTTACGGCAGACACCCCTTCGGGTCACCAAGCACCGGTGCACATGTTCAGTTTTCCTCCCGTAGGTTGCGCCGTAAATAACCCCCTTCGGGCCACCAAATCTCGATGTACCTGTCACTGCTAAAGACCTTACTTATTGAATCATCTGGGCTTCCTCAAACGGCTTGAGAGGCCCAGACTGCATCTATATATATATATAGACAGGGAGAGTGAGATTCTGAGCCGCGCTCCCAAGTCCGTCCTGCAAAGGCCACGCAATCGTACCCAGGAGCGCGCGAGAGCGTCTAGGAGACCCGTCAGTTGAGAGCCTTGGGCTTGTCATAGCATGTACAAGTGTCCATTCCGAGGTTTCAATGGACTTGAGGACACTCCACTCAGTGCCTGCGGCGCAGCCGCGGATCATAATTGCTGGAATGGTTATACCACGACGCCCTTTGGTGGTTCACGCGAGCGGATGTGATGTCAGAAAGGAGAGTTACATTCATACCTCCTCAACAGTACACCAATATATTGGTAGGATGCTGTCAGAAGCAGAGCACGTAAATATGATCAGCTAGTCAGGCGAAGACACAGTGGTAATGGCATACATGCTGTGATAAGGAAGGTGGGGTGTGTATGGCCAAGGTGTAGCGCGAACTGCAGCGGCATCACCTCCTACGGGCGATGAAGCAGACGTCGAGAGCTCACGTGTTTTACGATGGGAGCAGAGGAGTGCGCCGCCTGGTAAGAAAGGGTGCGGGGTGGAGTAGGGGAGGTTGACGGAGGCGCCCAAGATCGCGCTGGAAGCTCCCGAGACCTGACCCGCGCCACCGCGTGTAGATTCGCGTGGGGAGCCATTAAAGCTGACCCTCCCCCTCCCACTCCTCTCCCTCCTCCGCTGTACTCTTCGCTCTCGCAGCACATGCGACTGCCGTACAGATGTATTTCTCAACCGGTGACACATTCACATGACCGTCAGAGGTACGTTTACACACCAGGCTTACTTGCCAAATTTTATACCCATTGTGATTCACATCACGCTTACCATCCAGGTACAGAATTCAACACTTCGATTCTTCGCACGTTCAGACTCTCCGCACTTTTCTACGTTCCTGTCTCCGTCGGGACATTTGCGTCGCGGACACAGAAACTCGGGGTGGCCCGGTCGGGGTGCCGATTCGGGAGGCCAAGAGGCGGCAGTTGTGGACTCCTCAGCGCTCGGCCCCGACTCGAGGATCGGCTTGGTCTCGGTAGCCGCTGCCGGTCGTGTTCGACGAGGCCGCCACGAGAGGATGCAGGCCATGGCGCGGCACTGGGACATTTAAGAGGGGAGGGCCTGGCGCCTCGTCCGCCCGCCTGATGCACCACTGGCTGCCCTCTGCCGCGCTCCCCTGCGGCCCTGGCGGGCTCGATCTTGCGACTCCCGGCGAGCCGCCTCGGGCGGATGCGCCGTGTGGATGCCGTGTGCACGGAGCCTCGCGGAAGCAACGGCTTGGCCCGCTTCATGTTTTGGGAGGGCGCGGGTTTCTGCGTTGTCCCAGGTTTGATGTTTGAGAAGGTCTTTTCGATTTGTCTTCATTGTCCAGCAGGTCGCTCGGAGGGGGTATGTCACTCCTCCGTTCGCGCCCAGACTGCGGGGATGTCTGGAGACGTTTGCCGGTCTTGGTGCTCAACTTCCTCCACTTTCGGAGCAGATTCTAAGGATGTCTCCGGCGAGGCGCTGGTTTTCGCCCCCACGTGGGGGGGCGTCAGGGGGTATCTCACTCCTCCGTTCGCGCCAAGATTGCGGGGATGTCTCAAAATATTTGCTTGTTTTGGTGCTCAACATCCTCCGCTGTCTGAGCAGATTATGAGGATGTCCCGGGCGATGCGCTGAATGTCGCACCCTTGGGGTCACAGATTGCGAGGATGTCTCGAGCGGCTTGCGTGTCTTGTTGGTCAGACTCGTCTGCGTTCAGAGCAAATTCTGAGGATGTCTCGGGACATGCGCTGGCTTTCGCACCCAAGGGGGCCCACATTGCGAGGATGTCCCAGACTCACTTATGCTCAAACTCACTCGTGCTCAGACTCGCTCATGCTAAGACTCGTACTCATCATATTCATATTCAGAATCACTCGCACCCAGACTTGTCTGCTTTCAGACTCACTCACACTTAGACCCACCCACCCACCCTCTGACTCACTCGTAGTCAGACTCACTAGTACGCAGACCCACGCAGACTCAGCTTCATGTTCATCGTTCTCAAACTCAAACGCACTCACACTCAGACTTCCTCACACTCAGAAACACTCACACTCAGACCCACCCACCCTCAGATTCACTCGTAGCCAGACTCACTCGTACTCAGACCCATTCAGACTCAGACTCGTATTAAGTATGCTCATACTCGTACTCACTCCCACCCAGACCTACCCACACTCAGATTCACTCTCATTCAGATTCACTCACAGGAGTATGAGATGCGCATATCAGGAGCTTCACGCAGTGAAAAATTCTCTCTCTCTCTCTCTCTCTATTCCTCTCTCTCTATCCCTCTCTCTCTCTCTCTCCTTCTCTCTTGGACGTCTCCAGGGCACCTCTACTGAATTCGCACTGCCTTTCGAATCTCCTCCAGCCCCAAGCCTGCCATTTTTGGCTGGCCTATTCTAGACGCGGGGCGTTCCATGAAGGGCATCGGCTTCGAGGGATCGAGAGGTTGGTTTCTCTTCTTCGACGGAAGCCAACGGTAGTACAACGGGGAAGTTAACGAACATGAAAGTCGCCCCGCACCGCCCACCCCCCCAAGGTATGACAGCTTTGGGGGGGTCCCGTCTCTGTGGCGGGCCATGCCAGCGCAGGTATTGGAAAGCCTCCGTGGGAGAGGAGTGGATCCGTTGCTGGATCGGACTTGGGCCAGACCTCGGGCATCTGAGCAGGGACCTACTAGCCATCCCAACGAGTTTCCTCAGAATGGACTTGGACTACCGAGGGCTTGAGACTTCTTGGACCTATAGTTCTTCTGACGCCCTTGCTGGCCCCGTATTTGGAAGGAATGGGAAGATGAGACACCAGCGTCTGCCTCGGTTGAGGAGGTCTTGCTTGCGCAACAGGTTGGGCATGCTGGTTGCGCCCATGGGTTGCGCTCATGAGTTGCGCCTCAGGCTTCGAGGATGTTGAGTGGCCATAGGCTTCGCCCATGGGCTCGATCCGGTGCGTCCATGAGTGGCGCCTGATGCTTCGATGATGTTGCACTGCCATGGGTTGCGCCATAGGTCGCGCTCATGAGTTGCGCCTGAGGCTTTGAGGATGTTGCGTGGATAGGTTGCGCGCATGGACGGCGCCCATAGGTTGCGCCCGTGAGTTGCGCTTGAGGGTTCAAGGATTTTGCGTCGCCAGATGTTGCCCCCGTGGGTTGTGCAGGAAGGTTTGCTGATTTTGCCGTTCCATAGTTGGCGCCCGTGGATTACGCCAGAGTCTTCGAGAATAGGAAGGCCTTACGGCCAGTGCTGCCGACCCTAAAGGGGGACGACGACGACGACGACGACGACGACGACGATGACGACGACGACGACGACGACGACGACGACGACGGCGACGACGACGACGACGACGACGACGACGCTGACGTGGAGCAGAGTCCTCAGGGATGCTTCATGGAGCATCGTCAGAGCGCGATCGCAGGCCTCTGGGGCACAGTTCTGGGAGCATCTTGGGGGCCTCTTGGGAGCTGCTTGGGCGTCTCTCCGTGCTTCCTGCGGGCCTCTTGGGAGCCTCTTGGGGCCTTGTGGGGGCCTCTTGGGAGCCTCCTGGGAGCGTCTCGGGGCTGTGGGCTCGAAATGTTCCATTCGAGCTCCCGAGTGGGTACCCTCTTGGAGCCGTTTTAAAGGCCTCGGGCTGGGGCCGTCTGGGAGGCCTCTAGGGCAGTCTTGGGCCGCTCTTGGGCCATTTTGGAGCCGTCTCGGCAACTTCTCCGGGGCCTCTTGTGCCGATCTTGGTGGTATCTTGGGCCGTCTTGGAACGTCGGGAAGCCGAAAAGGCAAGAACGCCAGTATCTTTCAAAAACTCATTGAACAGAAGTCAATGCTGCCTGTTGGGGCCCTCTTGGTGTGCTCTTGGAGGCCTCTTCGAGCGTCTTGGCAGCCGCTTGGGCTGTGGGGAGGCCATCTTTGGCGTCTTGGACCCCCCCCGACATCCCCTGTCCAAGTTCAGCTTAGTTCCGTTTTAGCTGGCGTGCTTGAGGTTTCGGTTCGGTTTCGCTGCGGCTTGCTCGCTGGAGGAGGAGGAGGAGGAGGAGGAGGAGGACCCAGTGACTGCGACGACAACGACCACGACGACGACGACGACGACGACGACGACGACGACCACAACGATGACGACGGCGACGACGACCACAGCCTCTTCCACACGCCGCAGGGTCGGCGGATTCTGAATGGGCGTGCGTAGTAGTATGTTGCGCCCATGGGTTGCGCCCGAAGATTCCTAGGATGTTGCACTGCCATGGGATGAGGGGTCTAGGATGTTGCGTGGTCACAGGTTGCGCTCATGAGTTGCGCCTAAGGATTCGACGATGCTGAGTGGCCATAGGTTTCGCCCATGAGCTCCATCCGGTGCGTCCATGAGTGGCGCCTGATGCTTCGATGATGTCGCACTGCCATGGGTTGCGCCATAGGTCGCGCCCATGAGTTGCGCCTGAGGTTTTGAGGATGTTGCGAGGAGTTGCGCCCGTGAGGTGCGCTGGAGGGTTCGAGGTTTTCGCGTCGCCAGAGGTTGCTCCCGCTGGTAGTGCCGAAAGGTTTGATGATTTTGCCTTGCCATAGTTTGCGCCCGTGGGTTACGCCCGAGGATTCGACGGTTTTGAGTGCGTATACGTAGTAAGTTGCGCCCATGGGTTGCACCCGAAGGTTCCTGGGATGTTGCATTGCCATGGATTCCCCGCCCATGGATTGCACCATAGGGTTGCGCCTGAGGGTTCGAAAGTATCGCACTGAATTGGTGACACTACGCGGGTCGCACCACGTAGACGGCATCCATCCATTGTAGGAGGCACTGTAGGGGGTCCGCGCTGAAGTCATCGAATGGTTATTCAACTAACACCCATTGAAATCTATGTTGATGTTCGTTGGCTCTTGTAAGAGCATTCGGCCGACGACTCATTGCTGGAATCGACCCGACGCGAGCACGGTTTGGAAAGGGCCGCGAATAGTTTTGAAGCCACCATTTGGCGTTTGGGGCGCAGTTTCTGCAAGGAATCTCTGCGAGCTCGTTTTTTTGTTTGCCAGCTTCCGTCGGGACGCTCAGGCCGTTGGTGTGCTGGGCGATGGCATCGGGTCTCTACGTCCGCGTCCAGCCGCAATGGGGCAGTGTGTCAAAGTCTCAGGGAATATTGAGCAGGGGGTCCAGATTTTATCTAAATCTCGAGCGTGTGCTTGCTCATACAGCATGATGTCGCATCCATGTGTGCGAATAGCCTAGCCACTCAGTGAAATGTAAGTTAGCTTCGTCGGTTTAATGTGAAGTAGCTCGGTGGGGCCTTCTAAGAGTCGAAAGAATGTAAAGATTTTCTCCCGCTGCTCCAAGCGCGTGTAGGCCTTCGTTTTTTCAGCAATTGTGCGAACTCCGCCTCGGTTGTAGACAACATCTATGTGCTGGTGTAGTTCGTCAGTGCACTCGCGAGGAGATTCTGATCATCCGAAAAAGTTCCCTTGTGTTGTTCAGCAGACGCGGGATGAATTTCACAAGCTCAACAAGCAGCCCGTTGCAATGGTATCTCGCATGTGTGGTCGTGACCCTTTGTATGTGCTTGGTGCATGCGGTCTCTGGCCACGCTAAAAGTCAACCTTT